CACCGAGACACCCGCCGCCAGAGCCAGGAGTATATGAACAACTCCCCTTTAACTCCCATCAGCATCTCTACACTCAGAACCTGGCCTTGTCTTTTCTGGTCCCATGTTTCTCTTAAGAGGAAGTGAGGAAGCAAGCATTTGGCTCAGCAGTTAGGACACTGCTTGGGAGCCCACGTCCCTCGTCGGGAGTGCTCGGTTGCAGCCCTGACTCTGCTTCGGATCCAGCTTCCTGTCTCTATCTGCTCCAAAAGCAAGGCCCCCTGAAGCAGCCACGTGAGTCCTCAGTGCCAGCTCTCACACTGAAAGTGGCTTCTTCAAAAACAAGAAGAGTTTTCATGGGGAGAAAATTATACAAAAATCTATGCATGGATTCCAAAATAAATGTTGCCTTCCATCTTCCCAGGAACTTTCCTAATACCCTGGCAGGTTATTCCCAGCAGCTTTTCCATATGCCCCCTCCTCTACCAGGAAGAGCTAAACTGCATCGGGACTGTAACGTCCCTTCCCACCACCAAGAACAGAAAACAGCTTTATCACGGAGCAGCCCGAGGTGTGAGGGCTCCGCACTCCACGCAGCAAGCGATGGAAAAGAGCAGAAGCATGAACGAACTGAAGACTACAAAGATGAGGGATGGGGCGCGTTGCAGTGTGACCATTCGATTGTCTGTAGATTCTGATGACTTCTAGGGAAACGGAGGCGTTGGGACACTCCAGGGTCAGAGCCTCCCGCCTGATGCCCCAACGCTGGCTGCTGCCACGCCGAGGCGTCAGACTAGACTTACCTATTTTGAGCAGCATAGATGCTGGCTAACTTCAGGGAGATTTCGATGATTGCATTGTCTTCCTGTTGAGAGAAAGAGAAACGAAGGAAATTCAGGACAAGCAAAATGTCCGCACAGAATATTTCAAAATCAACTCCTAGTCTGACTTAGGTCTCAGACCTATTTTCTGTCCTTTCAGAGGAACTGGTCAAATGTGAACTGAGTAACTCCGCTCATGTGTTAGTGAAAAGACTTTATACATGCGGGGGGCGGGGGGGGGGGGGGATCCACTTTTTCTGGCCAAAGTGTGTTAAGAATTGGGAAAAATTTTCTAGAAGCAAAACCATTTTGAAAACTGGGCCCAGTGTGGTAGCCTAGTGGTTAAAAGTCCTTGCCTCACAGCATGTGCCATGATCCCATATGGGCGCCAGTTCTAATCCAAGGTCCTGGGATTCTGCACCCGAGTGGGAGACCCGGAAGAGGGTCCTGGCTTTGGATTGGCTCAGCTCCGGCCATTGCGCCTGCATGGGGAGTGAACCAGCAGATGGAAGACCTTTCCCCGCACTCCCCGTCTGTCCTCCTCTCTGCATATCTGCCTTTCCAACAGAATAAACCAAAACAACAACCAAAAAAAAACTGCTTCAGTGAAGGACACGACAGTGTTCCTACCTGCTTCATGCCCTCTCCAAGCAGGTGCCTCATGGTCGCCTTAAAAAGCTGTTCGGCCTAGAAGCACAAGACACGGTGTTGTCTTTTCCCTGGGGCCCCCTATCCTGTGAGAGTGGGGTAAGTGCTGCTAGGACGCCTCCTCCCTCAGGAGATGGGTAAGCACGCTCACACAGACACACACAAAGTGTCAGCACACCACACACTGCGTGCACCTTCAACTTCTGACAAGTCGAACCCAGCTTCCTAGATCTATTTCTCATCTGCAGTCTCTCTAACACTCAGTCTTCGGCCTTTTTCACTATAGAATCCCTCCCAGTTTTTAGCAGATCACCCTTCCCTGCACCTAGGTGTCATTGCACCACAACAAGGTTCCAGCCACAAGGTGGAGGCCCAAAGTACCGGAACAGCTTTTTAAAGCCACAGCTCGGAGGAAAGCGGCTGACCCTTCATCCCCCCTCCCTCCCTGCAGGGGACCGTGCCACCCACCCGCCCTCCCGGCAGCCGTGCCTTCAGGGTTTGGCTTGCACCTTGGAACTGCTGCATTAAAGAGAAATGAACCTTTCCGTGGGCCACTGTCTTCGGAGGCCTCACTGTTACAGCAGCTGAGCCCACATCCCTAAGTTAATCCCTCGCAAGTGCAAAACGTTAACCCAACACCATGTTACTTACGTTTTCAAGCTGACCCCGTATAAATGCCAAGTTGGCCATCTGAAAGCAAATTACACAGGTTTTTTTTTTTTTTTTTTCAGTTTTGAACACCAGGCTCTTACTCATTTCAAAACCATTATGTCAAATATCTTCGCTTTCTCCATCAGCGGCCGGGGCACATCCTGTGAAATCATCCCGGCCTGCCGGGCCAAGGCAACTGCAGGCTGGTTACTCAGCGTCCAATTTTGTACGGCCTCAGGGATGTTATAAATATCCAATGGCCCTAACAAGTAAAAAGGCTCCTTGCCTCAGCTCTGAATAAATAAAATATGTTAACAATTAATCAGCTAGAAGCATAGTACAGCAATGACGTAAAAAGTGAATTCTGGGGTGGGCGCTGTCATGTAGCCGGTTATACCTCTAACGCCAGCACCCCACACCAGAGCGCCCGTTAACAGTCTCAGCTGCAGCATTTCCAATCCAGCTCCCTGCTACCATGCCCGGGAAGCCAGGGGCCACTGCTACTCACAGGGCAGACCCACCTGGAGCTCCAGGCTCCTGCAGGCATTTGGGGAGTAAAGCAGTGGATGGATGAGCTCTCACTGTCTCTCTCTCTCTCTCTCTCTCTCTCTGTCGCTTAGTGTTTCAAATAAATACATCTTTTGTTTAAAGTGAGTATTTTGTTGTTTACTTTGCTGATGATAAAATCTGATCTAGACACCCGTGGATGAAGAAACAAATAATAATGACAGCGGTTTCTTTTTGGCCTGGCACTCAAGTTTCTTATAAGTGACAACACATAATTTCAAAAAGAAAGAAAAGAAATAACTTAGTTGTTAAGAAGTGAATTTTAGGAAAGATATCTTGAAGGTCAAGAACATTAAAAAAACAATTAGCTCTTCCCTTCATCCACCCTTCCCCATCAGCAGCTGGGATTGGTTAGAAATTTACCAAGTCGTAAGTGTAAGTGATGGCCTTCTGGTTGTTGCTCTGGAAGGCAAGACGGAGAGCATCGTGCAGAAGCAGCTCAGCCTCTTCCGGCTCGTCTTTCATGATGCTCAGCTGGACAGAGGAGATCAAGAACACGGAATGTCAAGTGAGCTGGCCGTCACCAGTGGGGCCTGGCTCCAGTTCCCAACACAGCGAAGGAAGCCCTTGCTTCCTCAGATACTCCCTGGATTCTCCCAGGCCAGTCGGCTCCTCTACAGCTACAGTGGCCACATGACGAAACTGGGCAACGAAGGCCGGGGAAAGGCATGATGCGGGGGCCTCCTCTACCAACAGTCAGGGGAAGCAAGTGGCGCAGGGAGGTAAGAGCAGTGAGGCAGAGTCAACCAAACCAAGCAGTGTGGGGGAGAACCACCCAGCCAGACATGAGTGAGCAAAAAATGAGGGGCGCCTCTCAGGCCAAGCAGAACATTTTCTGGGAGAAACGAAGGGAAGGTGGCCAGCCACAGGGTTACTGCCAAACGGCTGTGCCATGAGGCTGCTTTGGGTCAGGTGGGGTCCTGCACGCAGCAGGAAGGCGTGTGGGGTTTATCACTCGGCCGGACTCCGCTCCAAAGATCTCCAGGCAAGGAAGCCAAGTCATCCAGTTGATGAATTTTTGTTAAATCACTGTATCGGGAAAGCTGGATTGCGGGGCAGCAGGAGCCACGGCTTGCACGCCAGGCTGCTGACAGAGCCCACAGGAGGTGGCCGGAGGGCAGAGCTGGATCTGGTGGCCGCGCTGGCTGCCCAAACAGCCCTGCCAGGTGACATGCAAGGGACACGAGTGAGATCCCGAAGGTGGCAAAAAACGGGGGGAAAGCCATATGTTCGCGAGGACAGCTGGGATGACAGGGGCAAGAGAGGGCAGGGCAGGTCGGGAACTGGACATGAGAGAGAGAGAGAGAGAGAGAGAGAGAGAGAGAGAGAGAGAGAGAACGAACCGGTGTAGTACAGACCTTGCAGAAAAACGCAGTGCTGTAGACACCGGACTAGCAAACCACGTCTGAGGCAGAGCCCGCAGGCAGGGACGCCACGCCGGCACAGGTGCAAAGAATCACAGCAGGTGCAGCCCGGGTGGAGAGCGCCAGGCCCGGGGAGGGGGAGCCGTGCGCGTCCGCTGCCGCGGCTCTCGGGCTCGGACCCGCCTGGACCGTGTCCAGCCCGTCGCAGACAGCAACCCCGGAGCCTCCTCACCTTAGCCCGCTTCAGCAGCCAGATGATCTGGGCCTCGGTCTCGTCCTTCGCTTCCCGCTGCTCTGCCGCCTCCTCCTCGGTCTCGGCGGTCTTCGAGAACCAAGCGAGCACTGCGGGAAGAGGGCTCCGAGGTCACTGGGGGCTCCGAGGTCACGGGGGGGCTCCGAAGTCACGGGGGGGGGCTCCGAGGTCACGGGGGCTCGGAGGTCACGGGGGGCTCGGAGGTCACGGGAGGGCTGCGAGGTCACGGGGGGGCTCGGAGGTCACGGGGGGGGCTCCGAGGTCACAGGAGGGCTGCGAGGTCACGGGGGGGGCTCCGAGGTCACGGGGGGGCTCCGAGGTCACGGGGACCCCCCCGGCCCGCGCCCGTCCCTGTCGGCCGACCCCCGCCCGGCCCCGCGCCCCTCACCTGCCAGCAGCGGCAGCAGGCCCGGGGCCCTGGCGCGCGGCACGGACGCCGCCTCCGCCTCGGGCCCCGGCAGCAGGCGCGGGTAGCAGCCCCGAGCCCGCCGCCCCGCGGCCCGCAGCAGGCCCCGGCCGAGACCCCGGCCGAGCAGCCGGTACATGGTCCAGCCGCGCGTCCTCTGCGCACTGCAGGCCCGGCCAGCGTCCGCATGGCCCGCCCCGCTGGGCGCCGAGCGCTCGCCGGATTGGCCAGGAGCGCCGAGCGCTCGCCGGATTGGCCAGGAGCGCCGGGCACGCGCCGTGACGCACGCTGACATCCGGCCCGGCCTTGCACTGCGCCTCAGGTGTGGCTGGCCACCGGTGGGAGGACATGGCGGTGTGCCTGCCGGCTGTGGTGGAGGAGCTGCTGAGCGAGATGGCCGCGGCGGTGCGGGAGAGCGCGCCAAGTACGGGCCCGGAGGGCGTGGGGGCGGCTGCTTGGCGGGCTCCCGGTGCGCCCTGCGCCCCTCGCCCTGGCTGCGGGGTGGCTCCCGGGGGATGCCGGAATTCCCGCCTTTGCAGTCGCTGGCGTGGCCGGCCTGAGCTCACGCGTGGAATTGCTGGAGGAAATGCAGACCCTGTGTGGGAGAGAGCCGCTTCCTTCTCGGGCCGGCAGAGGATGCTGTGCGTCCGCTTGCCCGCTGGGCTCGTGCGTGCATGGGCTCCGATAGCTGCCAATGAGGCCTCCGAACTTAGGCGCTCTGACAGGGTTTTTGAGTTAACTATTCTTAAAGGTTGGAGGAAAGTTAGGGCCACTGTAGTTTAAAAAAAAAAAAACTTTTTTTTTTTTTTGCAAGTCAAAACCAAGGCGCCAGATATATATGCTTCGAAGGTGTAGGGCTGTTCTGCTGCGTTGTGATGTTAGGATGGGCGGGTGGACACGGTCGGCTGCCCTCTCCGGTTGAGTGGCCATGCCCGCTGACCATCTTGGGGACCAACCCATGACTCACACACGGACACTGCTGCCTCGGCTGCATGCTTGGTTTCAGCAGGATTGTTCTCGCCATCCTACGATCTTTGTTGTAGCCACACAGCCCAGACCCACCCACAGTTTTAGACGAGTTCATTTTTGGTGTCGTGATGGGCAGACCAGTCACAGATGAGCAACTCAGGAACAGTAGGGGGACTCTTCCTGTCTTGTGTAACCTCTGAATTTCCCTCGGGTAGTGATGGTCTTAGGTTTTTGACTGCTTCGACCTCAGACTCATTCCAAATGTGCCGTGTCCCCGCACAAGGTGCACACACACACACACACACACGCCAAGTGCTTCATCGACTGCACCCTCCTTGTCTTGTCCTTCGGTTGTCTCTTGAAATCCTCTCTCACTGTTCTTTACTTGGAATTCTCTTCCTGTTTGGGGTTCTTGTTTCTCAAGTGTATTGACTGAATGGTGCACCCGCCAGTAGCAGCTTTCTGCCAAAGCGGGCGGCACCACGTACCGTTGGAGAATTTACATGTCAAAATAGTACTTTTTCCTGCCCTCACGCTCCATTGACGAATAGATACGAAATTGTGTGTTGGAAGTATTTCTTCAGAGAACTGAAAGCCCTCTTCCATGACCTCTAGTTTCTAGTGCTACTCCTGATTTTTATATATGAACTTGGGTTTTTCTCGAACTAGGAACTGCAGTCATTCACTAATGCTTGTGGGGTGTTAGTCCCAGGGCCTCTCTTGGAACAAACTTATCTACACGCATCCTTCCAAGGATTTTAAATCACTTCTAGATTACAACACCTAGCATAATCTAAAAGCTGTGTAGACAATGTTTCACTGAATTGCTTAAGAAGTGACAAGGAGGGAAAAACCCTGCACGTATTTAGTACAGTTGCAGCATTTCCCCCCCCCAAATATTTTCATCCACTGAATCCAAGCAGGCAAAACCCACGGACATGGGAGGTAGGCTGTATTATCCAGGGTTGTCAGTCTGTTTTGCTTTTCCACTCCAGCATGTGAGCATTCAGTGGATCGATTCAGGCTGGAAATGCGTGTCCTTAGATCCTGGGATGTTTTCTTGGTGTATGTCTTTGATGAGTTCCCTGGCTGTTCTTGGATTCCTGTTACTTAGTTCTGAATTCCCTCTGTTCTCCTAATTGACTTCTCTCTCTTATATTTCTCAACTTCGGAAATTTTCTTCCATCTCACCTTCGAGATTTTTCTACTCAACTTTTTATTTTTGCTGTCATGCGTTCTTTTTACAACTCCTTCACTGACTTGCATTCTCTCTGATGATACTAACGACAGATGTGTGAGATTATCTTGTCTGCAGTTTTTGCTCTAATTAAATGTCTTCTATTGTGTCCTTCTGTTGTCTCATCACCTTTAATTATTTGGCCTTTTTTTTTAATGGAAATTAAATGGACCGCGACAGTCACTGTAGTTGTTCTAAGCTGTTTAGTCTAAAAGGCCATTCTGGCTTGGGCTCGCCAGATTCTGCAGTGGAGACTTGTAATGTCCTTGGACTTCTAATGTCCTTCTAATAGCCTGCCATACAAGAGCAGGAGGCCCCCCCGCCACACACACACAGCCACCTTGTTTTCGGTGTGAGGCTTTCGTCCACTATGCCTGATACTCCCCCCAGGCCAGATCTACTGTGTCTGAAGTGATAAATTTTCAAGGCAGGCAGGGAGAGACAATCACCTAGACCTAGGGAGGGTTCTGGGGTTCAGTTTATCACCTTACACAGAAGTCTTTGGGTCTGTGAAGCTTTTTAAAAATTTGTTATGGTCACCAGACTAACATCATTATTTTTATCCCCATTTCTATTTTATAGTTCCTGATGAGCACCTATTATCGTAAGTACAAATCCCATTGTATCAATTTTTTAACTGTTAAATGTGTTGGGCTATTACCTATTGGAAAGGCAGAGAAAGACACTTGCCTTCTGCTTGTTCACTCCCCCAATGCCTGTTAACAGCTGGGCTGACAAGGCTGAGCCAGACGCCAGGAGCTCCGTCCAGGTTCCTATGTCGCGGGGTTGGTGGGGGGACTTGGACATCTGAGCCCCCACCTGCTGTCTTCTCAACACATTAGCAGCATCAGAGGTGGAAGGGCAGGACTCCAGCCAGGCACTCCGAAAACAGTATGTCTGTGTCCCTGCTGTGGCTTAACCACCACTCCAAGTTCCCACCACCAATTACTACTTTAAAAGCAGAGAAAATGGATAAATAATAACAGGATGGAGACAGCTAAGATTTAGGGGGCAAAATGATAATCCCAACTAGTGACTACAAAAATGATTTTTCATCTGTAAAACTAGCAACTATAGGGACCCAGCGTGGTAACCTAGTGCCTAAAGTCCTCACCTTGCATGTGCTGGGATCCCATATGGACGCAGGTTCTAATCCCAGCAGGCCCTGCTTCCCATCCAGTTCCCTGCTTGTGGCCTGGGAAAGCAATCAAGAACGGCCCAAAGCCTTGGGACCCTGCACCCACGTGGGAGGCCTGGAAGAGGCTCCTGGCTCCTGGCTTCAGATCGGCTCAGCTCCGGCTGGTGTGGCCGCTTAGAGAGTGAACCAGAGAGAGATCTTCCTCCTCTCTGTCTCTGTGTGTATCTGACTTTCCAGTAAAAAATAAATCAAATCTTAAGCCACAGAAGATATACTGGCAAGAATATGAGGAAAGGAATAAGAGATACCCAGCTGGCAGAAATGTGAATTTAAAGGCACAGGCAGCAGGAGCTTAAAGCATACAGGTTCTTTACCCTGGTATTCCATTTACAAAGCATACCCCAAGGAAAGAATCAGGAGTGTTCATGTAGACTGCAGTCAGTATGTTCATCCAGTACTGTCTGTGTTTGGAGAGAATAAAATGAGTTTATGAAGTTCTTTGTAGCCATTTTTTTAAAAATGACAAAAATTAGTGAATGCATTCAAGAGATGTTCGCTGTAGGTCATTAGGTGAACAGAAATTTGGAAAGAAATTCATAGTTAACTATTCTTATCTGATGGGTAAAATTTTAACCAAACTTTAGTGGTTTTTTTTTTTTTGTGGACAAAATTTTCCAATGTCAAATCTGAAAAGTACCAAATGTATTCTTTGCCAACCCCTCAATAGTTTGTCCCACACGAGACTAGTTTGTTGGACAATGAGGAAATTGAACACTTCAAAAGCCTCCCTAGTTGCTGTCTTTGTGTGTCAAGCCCTATGACTTTGATAAAATATTAACTTTTTACTGTTAGCCCGACCTAGCCAGTTGCTTTTCAGTTTATAACAATAACACATTCTTATATATTTAAAAAAAAATCCTTGATTGACAAATAAACCACAGCAGTCGGCACCCAGGGACAGTTATTCTTAGGTTTGGGTCAGTACTTTCTTTTAAATTAGCATTTTGAGGTAATTGTAGATACCCATAAGAAAAAAGTTGACATGATGGGGAATTGATGAACATACTATTTTACTCCCAGCCATTCTCTTCTAATCCTATATCATAAGAATTCTCCTGGAGGCAGCACTGTGGTGTAGCAGGTAAAGCCTGCTGTGATACTAGCATCTCTTGGGCACTGAGGTAAGACCTATTCGAATTCCAATCCAGCTCCCTGCTCACGCACCTGGGAAAACTGCAGAAGATGGCCCAAGTGCTTCCACATCCCACATGGGGGATTCAGAAGAAACTTCTGGTCCCTGGCTTCAGCCTGGTCCAGCCTCGGTCACTGTGGCCCTCTGGGAAGTGAGCCAGTGAGTGGATGGCAGACCTCTCTCCCTTCTCTCTGTAACTCTGGCTTTCAAATAAATAAATGTGGATTTTTTAAAAAGAAGTTTCCCATATGCCAGTATTTTCTGAAGTCACCATTTCCACAGCTAGATATCTTTATTCCTTACCTGAAAGTACAAATTTTACATTCAAACATGAAAAAAAATCTGATTAGTGTTGGTGAGGGTATGGAGAAAAACAGCTGTTAAGCAGTGCTTGAAGGAGGGCCATATCCTTGTTGGGAAGCTGTTGGCAATACCTGTGTACATGTCTAAAATTAAACAATTCCATTCTGGGTTAGGGAATGGAATTTCCATGTATGTACAGCAGCTAACGTGTACAGCTGAGCATCAAGCATTGTTACAATAGAATAAAATGGAAACACTTGGACTGCCCAAACGTAGGTGCTTACTGAATTAAAATGTTTACATACAGTTAAGTAAAAAATATACATATATACAGCAGCATTCAATACAAGATGTGTCATATAAACAATTCCAAGTCGCTGAAAGAATAATTTGTATTCAAAATTCATAACAATTCACACATATAAACATGCTGGCTTCAGAAGGTTCCTAGGCAGCGGGATTAAGAGTATGCTTCCGAGGTGGGTGTTTGACCTGATTAAGACACTCACGTGCCATGTCAGTCCCGGCTCCGGTTCCAGCCTCCTCCGGCGAGCATCCAGGGAGGCACCCAGCTCCTGCCACACACACTCCGAGGAGACCACACTCCAAGGGGACCTGAATCTGGCCCTAGCCGTTGCGGCCACTGGGGAATGACAGAGCAGCAGATAATGGTTCATACTCTCTTCCTTCTTCCCTCTCAAATGCTTTTTTTTTTAAAAAAAGTTTTTTTGAATATTATACATTTTTCAGAAACTTCTTAAAGACATATTGTACATACGTACCTGCACATGCAAATGCACAGACACTCTGCGTCATCAAGCATGACAACAGTAACCGGAAGGAAACCTTGAATGCATGTGCTTCCCTCAAGGACGAAGGAAAAGTCAGGAGAAATACACTGCAGAGAGGGCTTGTCTGGAATAGTTTATTCCTTTTCCTCAAAATGCAAGATCTGAAATAAATGAACAAGGTTTTCATGTTTCTTTTTTTAGATGTTCATGTTTATTCTGGGGAACAAGTCTATGAGTTTTGACATGTTATTTATTTTGTTTCCAGTTAAAATTTCAAAATATTTTATTTTTTATTTGAAAGGCACAGTAACAGAGAGGAGAGGAGAGAGAGGAAGATCTTCCTATCTGCTGGTTCACTCCCCAAATGGCCGCAGCAGTTGGAGCCGAGGCGATTCAAAGCCAGGAGCTTCTTCTGGGTCTCCTGTATGGGTGCAGGGTTCCCAGGCTTTGGCCCAACCTCTGCTGCTTTCTCAGGCACATTAGCAGGGAGCTGGATCAGGAATGGATCGCTTGGAACTTGGATTGGTGCCTATATGAAATTCTGGCACTAGCGGGGGCAAGATGTGCCTGATCTGCCACCACACTGGTTCCTAAAATGATTTTTTTTATTCAAATATATTATTTACCATTCCTAAAACTTTTTTCTTTTTTAAGCAGTGAGAAACGGTTGTCCTTTGGGGTAAGTTATTGAGGTAACCTGGAGTGCTGCTGCTAAGAAACCTTTCTTTTTCCCAGGCTGAAGTTTGTCTTTGGTGCATCGGCTGTCCAGGCCTTGGACCTCGTCGATCGACAGTCTGTCACCTTAATATTGTCACCCAGCGGAAGGCAGGTTTATCAGGTAGATGTCTAGAAATGATCGCATTCATCAGAAACCCCTTAGGACAAAACGTTCCATCAAGCAGATTCTCAACTACTGAAAAGCTTCTTACCCAACAGTAAAATTATGAACAATTTTTAGAAGTCTTTGTGTTTAAAATTGACACGTCTGTCAATGGTGTGCAACATGATGTTTTGATATAGACATATGTTGTGGCATGACTAAATCAGGCTCGTTGCCATCTGTTACATGCTTAATGGTGACAACACTTACAATCCGCTGTTTCAGAAATTTGCAGGTTTGCAATACATTGTGAGTAAGTGTAGTGACCATGCTGTCAGTTCAGTGTGTAGGTCTCCTGAGCTTTTATTTCCTGCCTCACTGAGACGCTCTGCCCTCTGGCCAGCTTCTCCTCGCCCTTCCCCAGCCCCCTGCTTTCTGCCTCTGCTGGATTCCACGCCACGCGTTCGTGATGCAAAGTCACCAGTCTGACGTGTAGTTGCCCTCTACTTTTCCTTTGCTGTCTGATGGGAGGCATCTGTCACCTTCACCATTCATTACTTTATGCTCGCGACAGCAGCCAGAATGTGTCCTGAGAGCCTTCCAACACGCTCAGGTTTACCTCTCAGAAACCATCTTCCCAAACTGCCAGCAAGGCAAGCATCCATTGCCAGACAGCGCTGAGCACAGGCAGTCTCCTTGGAGCTTGCTTTTTGCCCCCTTAGCGCTTATACCAGAGACAGGTAGGTTTGTGAGGTACTCTGAATTACTTTTGTGTTTGATGGGGAAATGCTCTCCGAAAGCCCAGCAGGCTGCAGCATGCCGTCTGTTTTGTGGCAACCGCAGTGGCATCTGGCTACCCCACACTGCCTGACTCTAGTCGCATCCGATGCTTGACTAGAGACTGGGCAGGAGCTGCATGCCAGCTCTGGCCACCCACGCCCTCTGAGGAGTCATCTGAGATGCTGGTGGGTGAAGCCAGGCTTGAGGGGAGTCTTGCGATAAAACAGAAATGCTGGCAGTCTTGGCCAAAGATTTTGTGCCTAGTTCAGAAGGTTAAAAAATAAGCCATTAGCCCTTGTATGTAATCCAGGCTCTGCTGAAGGACCAGGAAGGGATAGGTTGTTCATAATCCCACTTTATTTTAGGTGGACTTAGCAGAAGTGAGACCGGGTGAATTCATTGTTAGGGAATGAATGACTCCAGCAGAGCTTAGTGGAGCAAGCTGCCATTCCACATTGTTGCCCAACTTCACTGACCTGGCAAAATGTTAGTGTTTCTTCACTAAGAACATGGCGTGGAATGCTGCAGGCAGAACTTGTAGATGGCGTTTTCCTGTGCTGCCTATTGGGAGGATTTTCTCACTCACTTAATTGTGCTCAGGGTAACACTCACTGTGTAAACCCGAGGAAGTGTTTTCTTTCCTGGCTATTTTAATTATTTTAAAATTTCTTTGTTATTTGAAAAGCAACAACCAAGAGAGGAGAGAGGGAGATCTCCCATCGGCTGGTTAACTGCCCAGATGCCCACAAGATGGCTAGAGCTGAGCCAAGCTGAAGGCAGGAGCTTCTGCCAGGTCTCCAACACGGGTGACAGATCCCCAAGCACTGGGGTCGTCTTCCCTGGCTTTTCCTAGGCCATCAGCAGGAACTAGTTTGAAAGTGGAGCAGCTGGGACTTGGAACTGGTGTCAGGAGATCCCAGCGTTGCATGTGCTGGCTTTACCAGCTGTGCCATGACACTATCCCTGATTTTTGAGGAGCTGAAAATGCCCAAAACTAAAGAGGCCTTCAAGTTTTTCCTGTGACTTTTAGTCTTGGGTGCTTATTCTCAGTCCCACCCTTACATTAACACTTGACCTAGGCAAGCAGACAATCCAGCTGTTCTCATTCTGTAATCCAGTTGTTACTCAAAAAAGAAGAAAAAATGTTAGGGAAGGCGCTGTGGTGCATCGAGTAAAGCCACAATTTGCAGTGCTGGCATCTCATGCAGGTATGAGTTGTAAGTCCCAGCTGCTCCACTTTGGATCCAGCTTCCTGGTAATGTACCTGGGAGAGCAGTGCAAGATGACCCAAGTCCTTGGGCCCCTGCACCAACAGGACACAGAAATGAAACTCCTGGTTCCTGGCTTCAACCTGGCCCAGCCTCAGTCGCTGAAGCCATTTAGCTGCAGTGGATGGAAGTTCTCTCGGTCTCTCCTCTCTGTAACTCTACCCTTCATATAAAACTAAATCTTATAAAATTTGAAAAAGTCTTGTTTGGAATATCTTAATCATTGTTAACCTTTGTTTCTGCCAGTGGTCACTGTGCCTTGTTTTTTGTCATTCACGTCCAGTAAGACATTGCACTGCTCTATAAGTAATAAAAATGCTAACTTCATAGAACCGTGGCTGTCAGCTTGGACTTTGAATTGAGACTATCGAAATATTACACGCCCTCAAATTAAACTTAATGGGTGCACTATCTAGTTTTATAGTAAGGATTGGCTTAATTCAGGAGTTGTATAACGTGACGCTGGCTTGATACCCAGCTGGTGTTTCCACGGACCAGTCTTCCACTGGTCCACCCTGGTGCTCCTGCAGCCCTTCAAGGGTAATGCAGTCCCCCTGATGTTGTGTCCCAGAGCTGCCTTTTCTGTCACCTGAATTCTCAGGTTCTCTGCGGGTCATTCATTCAGGGGAGGCTGGGCTGGGCTGTGGGGACAGTGACCTCCGATGCTGAGCTTCATCTCCCAGGAAACAACTGCAGCCCTGTCCCCCTTGGTGCTCCCACTTGCAGCAGCAGCCCCAACCTGGGACGCCAGGGACCTGTCAGCAGAGAGGAAAGGGCAGAGTATGCCCAGTAAGTTGTAACATTTCTGCCTAGCTAGTCACTTCTGCTGGCTACCTCAGGCCCCAAGCCAGCATGTGCTTTAATAAACGAGGAATGCAGGATCCCTTGCAGAGAGAGCCACTAACACTGGAGCAATAAATGACAGTGCATCACTGGGATGAGGCTGTCAGGACTTGGAAAAGTCAGAAAACAACTACCTGCGAAGGGGTGACCATTCAGGCGGGGAGCCCTGGAAAACTTAACAGACCTGCCAGTGGAATCCCTAACAGGCAGTCACAGAGTGGCCTCTTCCTGTGTGTCTCTTTAAAAGCACACACATAAAACCTCCCTCCTGGGGATAAAAATTCCAGACTATAGAGCAGTTCCTGTAAGGGGAGGCCACTTCCCTACTGAGGGATGAAGAAATGCTATCCGAACCAGATTGTCCCTACGGTCAATTCCCAGTTCCAGAAGCTTCCAAGATTATTGCCCGATGATCAGATATATCTGTTTCCCACTGCTAAATTAGGAAGAAGCAAACTCGGAATGTACCCTTTATATTTTTTACTGCCTTGGACAACTGCAACTTTACTTGCAGTCTTAGCCAGCCTTTGAAAGGGTCAGACAAGGGAAGCCCTGTAGGACTGCTCCCCATTCTGAGTCACCAGGCATTTCTTCAGCACCGGCCATGGCACATTCTGTAGGATTGAGAGACTCCACGGTGAGAGGGAACCCGTGAGTCACTCAGGGAACTATGCTTGGCTGAATTTAGATCTAGAGAGAACAGACGTGGGAGGTAAACAGAGGAGGGGGAAAAAAAAAGATGTGGGGATTCATTCATTCATTGGTGACAACCCAGGAATCCAAGAATGACAGCATCGCTGGCTGTTGCAGCCTCCTTCAGGAGTAAGCAGAACAGTCTTGCAACATGCTCCTTCTGGTTGTTGACAAGACCCCCTGGGACATTTTTCCATTGATATTCAATTGCAATTGATATGTTCACATCACTGCCCTATATAGGAAACGAGATGTGACTTTTCAATGCCGAATTTACAACTCTGACTGAAATGCTTGATGGGTTGGCATCTTCTCACTGGTTGCTCATTTCTGATAATCCTACAACCTCAAGGAATTCTGATTTTGCAATTAAAAAGAAAACATGGTGAGGTGGGTCCATCATGTGACCCACTAAACACATACACACAGAGGCACCCCTTAATTCTGCTGCTACTGCTTTGGCTAAAGCTTATAGCTCATCTGTTGCTTTAATCTCTGTAGGAAACAAAAGGATCCTGGGGTGCTGACACATTGTAATTCCAAAAACAAGCCCCCCAAAAAGGGACTTGGCTTTTCAGTTTAGATTACCATCCTGGGGCCAAAACCTCATTTGATAGCTCTAAAGAACAGTTCCTTATAAAATAACCCCAGGATGTTTCTGCTTCCCGTGGTAACTATTAATAACCTCAGACTTGCAGTTTGAAAATTAACTCTTCAGAATGAAGCCTCCAGACCTTGGCGGTTGGTGGCAGGACTGAAGTGCCTGAACAAATGTGTGTAGTCATACGAGTCTTATCTTGCAGACACATCTCACTTTCGCCGCTCTCCAGTGCCACAAGACCGTTTGTTCCTGGGCCGCGCCTCTCCCCTGCCCCCACAGCTGCGTCCTGCGAGATGAGCTGGCAGATCTGGGCTCGCCCTTCTTCCTGAGACCTCCACCCCTAGCGAGCGCTGAGTCATCCCTCGGCCGCTCTCTGATCCCTTGGCCTCACTCGCAGAGGCTCTTGAGGGGCCTCATCCCACTCTGAGTTCCTGCTGTCTGGCTTCCTCCTGCCCTCCACTCCTGCCTGTTCTCACCCACCCTTCAGCTCAGGCAGTTCACACGTGCTCAGTTAACGGACATGATAGATGCCTGCGTCAGGAACAGACTGACCTGTGCGGACGGTGGAGGGAGTCTGTGACTCTTGAGTTCTGTTGTGTGAAGTCCTGGAGGACAGAGCACTGGGACACGGGGAGGAAGAGAGTCCCCCCTTCTGTGTACAACATCACTGCCTTTCTTCCCGGGCACACTGCAGAGCAGGGCTCGGTCGTGAGGGAAAGAAGCGGTTTCCTGCACCCCATGTGAGGCCTGACCACCTCTGCCCTTCTCCCCAGGTCCTGGGAAGCTCTGGGAAAACCTACACCTGTTTGGCTTCTTGTCATTACTGCTCATGCCCTGCGTTCGCCTTCTCGGTGCTACGGAAGAGTGACAGCCTCCTGGTGAGCAAGAGGAGGGCTCTTACCACCTGCGAGCCAATCAGCAGGCCCTTTTTTTATCATTTAAAAGTTATGAAAAATGGAAGTTGTACTACGTCTTGAAACAAACATGTTTTATCTCTGACAAGAACTTAACTGTTCTTACCTCCAGTTGATCATCTCTCAGGGTTTAAACTCCCAAAATGTAACGTCTTCTTTAGAACCACAGCAGACTCCTTTAATTAAAAAAAAGGTCAGGGGTTGAGGCTGGAGTTGTGGCAGATCTGGTTAAACCTCTGCCTGTGACACCGGCATCCCATTTTAGGCATCAGTTTGTGTCCCAGCTGCTCCACTTGTGATCCAGCTCCCTGCTAATATGCCCTGGGAAGGCAGCAGAGGACGGCCCGAGTCCCTGGGCCCTGCACTCAGGGGAGACACAGAAGACTCTCCTGAGTTTGGACTGGCCCAGCTCTAGCCATTGTGGCCATTTGGAGAGTGAACCAGCAGATGGAAGATTCTCTTCCTCTGTAGCTCTGCCTTTCAAATAAGTTTCTTAAAAATCCTAGGAATAAAAAAAAAAAATAAAATTTCATGGATTAAACTTAAGGGAGGTCAACAGGGCAATCACGGAGGCTGACCTTGGGTAGTTAGATGCCCAAAAGAAATATTAACTAAATCAAATGGTCATTATGCCCGTGCCAAACTACAGCCATGAGGTGTGCCTTCCCATCGTGCAGAAGACAACCTTCCACGTGGGATAAGTGACTCTGCCTGTCCTGTAAGCCTTGGCTGATTTTGCCCAAACCTAGAGCACAGAGCCAGGATCAAGACATTTCTTATTCCCAAGGGAAAGGCACTGTCCTAAGAATAGGTAACGACTTTTTAAAAAGATTTATCTGAGAGAGATGGCTGCAAAGGCCAGGCTGAAGCCAGGAGTCTGGAACTCCATCTGGTCTCCCATGTGGTCAGCAGGGGCCCAAGTATTTGGGCCATCTTCTATTGCCTTCCCAGGTGCATTAGCAGGAAGCTGGAATGGAAAATGGAGCAGATGGAATCCAAACTGACAGGTGCTACTTTTTAAATGCTGCAAAAGAAGAAAAGCAATGGCGTCCGTCCATTCTCCTTCCTGGAGTGTAAACCATCACTGTGAGCGTCTCTGGAGGCACAGAAGGAAAAAACATAACGCTAGAACTAACAGGAGCCTTGTGCTTCACCCAGAGCAGAAGGCAAAGTGAGCCAGTGTGTGGCCCAGACACCCCGGTCTCAGCTGCCTGTCTGCAGTGTAGGCAGTGAGCTAAAGGCCCAGAATGTGTGCACCTAATCCTTTCCTGCCACAGAGAACAATAGCGAGGGGCACGGCTTAGACAGGCCTCCTGTTTCTAACTGCTTTGTATGTTCTGTATTCCAGTGCAAACATCTCTTGGCAGTTTATCTTACTCAGGTTATGGGGACCTGTCAGCAACTGAGTGTCTCTGACAAGCAACTCACTGACATCTTGTTGATGGAGAAGAGACAAGCAGCCTAAAACGCACTGATGAGATTCGTCCCTTTCAAGATAGAAGTGCCACCAAGAAATGCATTTAACATGTCTTGATTCACACGGGAGAGGAGCCATGACATGGCTCTTCAAGACTTGTTACTGTCCAGTCCATCATGGGCTGCAAGACAGGCTGTGAGTGTGGGGAGTATGCACATGGCTGCAAGCCCATGGGACCAGTGTTGTGGCCTAAGAGGTTTCAGCCTGTGGGTGCCGACATCTCAAGAGTGCCAGTTTGAGTCCCAGACGGTCCACTTCCCATCCAGCTTCTTTCTGATGCACCTGGGAAAGCAGTGGAGGATGGTCCCCAAGTCCTTGGGCCCCTGCAATGATGTGGAAGAGAACTGGAAGCTTCTGACCCCTGGCTTCAGACTGACCCAGCTCCAGCCATGCAGCCTTAGGGGACGTAAACCAGCAGATGGAAGATACCTTTCTTGCTCTTTGCCTCTCCTCCTCTCTGTAACTCTATCTTTGAAAAAAAAAAAAAGTCCTAACAACCTTGTCATGAAAAACCTAAAAAACATCTCTGAGCCTCCTGGGTAAAAATGTCCCTGGGAGTGGGGCCCAGGTCCTCGGGCCCACCTCCAAGATGCGTGCTAGATCCTTGAGCCCCAGGGGTGGAGATCCAGTAGGGATCTGATGGGGTGCAGGTCACCTGGCTCAGGCCCTTGGGGCCTGTTGTGCAGTGCCAGATTCGATGGCAGGCGGTCCAGTGGATCCTTGGGAGTCTGGCCTGGGATCTTCATTCTGCCTGGGCAGTGGGTAGTGGGTTCGTGAGCCCCAGGGGCAGGATGTCCAAGATGGCTCATGTCATCTGGCCCAGGTCCTTGAGTCCTGTGTGGTGGGTACCAGATCCATGAGCTCCAGGGTGGGGGTCCAGCAGGGCTTGGGTCACCTAGTCAGGCCCTGGGGCTCACCTGTGTGGTGGGTGCCGGGTCCGTAAACCCCAGGGGTGGGGGTCCTTGGGCCTACCTGCGTTGTAGGTGAAGGTCTGACAGCCCCAGGGGTGGGGGTCCAGCAGGGCCTGGGTCACCTGGCTCAGGTTCTTGGGCCTGCCTGCATGGTGGGTGCTGGATCCATGAGCCCTAGGGATTGGGAGTCCAGAGGGGCCTGGGTCCTCTGGCCCAGATCCTTGGGCCCACACGCTTTGTGGGTCTGGGTCTCTGAGCTCCAGGTGTGACGGGTCTGGCAGTCCCCAGGTTGCCTGTCTGGGGTCCTTGGACCTGCCTGCATGATGGGTGCTAGATCCATGAACCTCAGGGATGGAGGGCTCTGGCAGAGCCTGGGTCACCTGGCCCCGGGTTCTAGGACCCACCTGCATGGTGGGGGTTGGGTCCATGAGCCCCAGGGGCAGGGAATCAGAAGGGGCCTGGGTATCCTGGCCCATGTCCCTGGATCTGCCCAAGTGGTAGTCTGTGAGCCCCAGGCATGAGGGGTTTGGTTGGTCCCAGGTCACATGGCCTGGGGCACTGGGCCTACCTATGCAGTGGGTGCTTGGTATGAGAGCTCCAGGAGTGTGGGTCCAGGGGGACCTGGGTCACCTGGCCTGGGTCCTTAGGTTTGCCTGTGTGGTGGGTGCTGGATCTGTGAGCCCCAGGGGTGGAGTTCTAGTGGGGCTCAGGTTGCCTGGCCCAGGTTCTTGGGTCCACCTGCATGGTGGTTGCCAAGTCAGTAAGCCTCAGGGTGGGAGGTCTGGCTGGGCCTCGGTCGCCCGGCCCAGGTCCATGGGCCCAAGTTTGAGAACCGGTCCTCCTCAGCGTAAAGGGCGGAGTGCTGGACAGCAGACCATGGTGCACACAGAGGACATGGTAGCCCACTGGGGCCTGCAGAGGACATCTGGTACCACAGCAGAGAATGCAGAACAGAACATAGGGACAACTACCCCAGCCGAACATTGACAGCGGATCTCTGGGTGAGTGGAGACTCTGAGGTCGACTGCATCAGCCAGTGGAAGGGATTCTTTATCCATTCCATCGGCAAGATTGACAGCTTCTCAGAATGATCGCATCCACCTGGCAGAACCCTCGCAGCACGTGCCTCAGTGTGACCCTGGGTTGGTGTCGGGTAGACGTTCCCTATCCTCGGGCACTGGGATGGCTGGGAGGCTGGGTATGGGCTCTCCACGTATCTATCCCCTCTCCCCAGAAATGGGAAGAAGAAATAGAAAGTTTGGAAACAATGATTACACCCACTTCTCCCTCATCTTAGATCCTTCCCACCCTGACCAACTATGTAAGCATCATCTAAAATAATAAAAAGTTTTCAAATGTCCCTGGAAGTAATGGAGCATTGTGGGGTCAAATAAAACCTAATACTGCTCCAACCATTAGAATTCTTAGAGGACTGAATTACTGATTTTTTTTAAAGAATGGAATGATAGCCCAGATGAGTAAGGGAAAGCTTATATGGGTGCAGATTCTTCTCCTTGGGTTCAGAAAATTATTCTGCAGTAATGAAAGATGAGAGCAAACATGTGGCTAAGCAGCAACAAGTGTGGGAAAAGCTGGGTTCCTGGTGTCGGTGTACTGGTGCCTTCTGTGCTATGTTGGTACCACGCAGCTTAAATGGGCTGTGTGCTCAGATCATGCCTAGAAGAAAGCAAGAGCTGGTTTTGCACTGCATGAATTTTTGGATTTTGGACACACTAAGGAGCAGACTGAAAATCCTGTCCTGGATACTGTTAAGGACTTTCTGTCTAAAGAAGAAAAGAATCATGTTGGCAGGGACGGAGCAGAGATTGCACTGGAGCCCGAGAGAGAAGGGAGCATGTGGCGGGAGGGTGGAACCAGGAGGCTTCAGCCCAGAACAGCAGCTTCTCGCGGCCAGGAGAGCCTCCCAGAGGGGCAGGATCCTCCTGTCTCCAGTGGGGTCCCTCTAAGGGTGCCACAAAAGGAACTGAAGTAGGAGACCAATTCGGGAAGTAAGTCCCCATTCTTGTGACCCCACAACCTGAATGCAGGTAACACCTTTCAAGATGTCTGCTACATAACAAACTTGGACTGAGCAGACTGAAACACAGGAAGTAGATGCAGCCTGTGTCATATCCTAAGCTGCTTTGTTTTGTTTTTAACATATTCTCTTCACCTAATACACACGTTTAAGACAAATTTGACTTCATAAAATTTTCAGTATTGGTTCCAACAGCTCGGCCAAACTTGCAATTCACTGCATAGGCTCTGTGAGAGGGATGCTCATGGTGGAGGGGCCCATCTCCCCAGTCTTTCTCTAGGATAAGTTATCTGTATTCGTGAGAGGTTAGTACTTAAAACTGCTACCTGATGACAATTCTGCTTAGTAACTTCCAAGAATAGGATTTCCCTCAATTAAGACAGCGGTTTCTTGGTTGAAGAATTATTTAATTTTCCTAGTTGTCCTAGGAAGAAGATTTTTGAGTACAGCCAACTTGTCTTTTTCCATTGCTTCTAAAAAAATGCATTATAATAATTCACAGTGTTTCACAGTAAAATGGTTTGCTGTCCACCACAAATGAGGCAGATGCTCACGAGTCTTTTAGAATCTATCCAAGTCACTGGCATCATCCACAGAGTAACAGCAACTGAACAGAAGCATAAATATCCTTGTATGTGTCCACCCTTCAAGTCTGCTAGGTACATATGACTGGATACGTGAGAACTCCAGGAAGACGCTCATGAGGTTGGCCTGTTGTTTCACAGGGAGAATCAGCCAGTCGTACCCTGTCCTGTTTTGTGAACCCGTGCCTTCTCAGAGAGGCTGGAGCCTGGGTCATAGGCCCATGCCGAGGACAGGCTGGGTTCTGGTCTGCCCATTCCCACTCTTGGCATCTGTCTGGCAGAGAACGTACCTGGAGATGATTCTGTGGAAAGTTTCTCGGAAGTCTCGGTTCCGGTAGGCATACACGATGGGGTTGACAACCGAGTTGGCGTGGGACAGGAGAATGGCTATGTTAATTGCCCACTTGGGCTTATCCTTAGCTCGAGCTGGCTGAAAAAGAGTGATGCAATTGATGGCATGCACTGGTAGCCAGCAGAGAGCAAAGATGCCCACGATCATGGCCAGCGACTTGGCTGCATGGATCTCCCGCTGGAGGGTTGTTCTCGAGTGGTCCATGAGCTCAGTGCGCTGCAGCTGCCTGCAGGCCACCATGAAGATCTTGATATAGATGACCAGCATGATGAGCAGCGGAGGCAGGACGCACACGAAGAAGTTGAAATAGACCATGTAGCTCATGGGGATCACGTTCTCAAACAGACACTTGACGAGGCAGCAGCTTTCATTCGTGGCTCTGTCCCCAGGCTCAGTGCAGTTGGTGGTGGCACTGTCCCTACTGTTCCACCCCAGGAATGGAATCAGTCCGATGCCAAAGGCAAGGACCCAAAGGATGCCAATGACTCCTCTTGCTCGAGTCCCAGTGACCAAGCTATTGTACCTGTTCAGAAGGACAACACCACAGTTCAAGTCAGTCCACTGTGCAGTCAGGAAGCCCCTGCCACCGCAGTCCAATGGCCCACCCCTGCTTTTCTTTCACAGTCAGTCAGTCCCAACAGCCGCAGAGATCTCCTCCTTGGCACCAGGGCCTAACCCTCCACACTGAGGACGTGTAAGCAGATACAAGCACCTTTGCTCAAACAGGCTCAGGAAGACTTGACTTGGTAACTCTTCTCTGTCTCGTGATGAACAATGGTTCAGATCAGAACAGTCCCTTAGTTGGCAAACAGCATGGAGAGAGGGATGGCATGATAAGTGAACAAGTTAAGAGAGAAAGATCAGGACTGGCAGAGATTGCAGTGTTAGAGGCCTGAAGGGTTTTAGACAGAGGCTCCTGTATGTGAGGGACAGAGGCCCTTGGGGTCAGGCAGACTGCCTGGGGCTTTGGGCAGTGGTCTTTCCAGTCTCCCCCAGGTAACAGCTGCGGTGTGGCTTGGCTCGCAGGCAGAGTCATTTCTGAATAACTGCACTGTTGCAGAAGAGTCATCCTGCAGGTGCCCTGCCTGTACAGAAATGCCAGTGGCAGAGTGGGTAACAGTCCAGAAATAGGAGGCTGACATTGGGGTGCGCAGGTGAAACCACCGCTTACAATGGTGATATCCCATATTCGAACCCCTGTTACTCCTGGCTACTCCATTTCCCAGCCAGCTCCGTTAATGCATTTAGGAAGGCAGTAGAAGATGCCCCAAGTAGTTGAACATCTGACATTCACACAGGTGACCCAGATGGCGTTCAGGGCTTCTGGATTCAGCCCGGCCCAGCTCCGACTGTTACGGCCATTTTGGGAGTCCTCCATCCTCATGAGTCAGCAGGGAGATCTCCCTTTACTTTCTCTTTTTTGTCATTCCACCTTTCAAATAAATCTTTAAAACAAAATTGGGCAACAGCAAATATTTTAAACCATGAAATATTATCTAAAACTGCTAAAAAGCATAAATACCTTTTTGACATATGTAGACTATAAATTAGTCTACATATGCTTAAGGCAGAGGTATAAACTTTGCTATT